AAAATTAAAGGGAATGAGAGAGAGAGAGATAGAGAGAAAGAGTGAGAGAATAAAAAATAGAGAAAGCAAGAAATGTGAGAGGAAATGATCAAAGGTAGACGAAAGTGAAAGTAGAGAGAAAATGGAAGAGAACGAGAGAGAGAGAGAGAGAGAGAGAGAATAGCAAAGAGAAAAAGCAAGAAATGTGAGAGGAAATGATCAGAGGTAGACGAAAGTGAAAGTAGAGAGAAAATTAAAGAGAACGTGTGTGTGTGTGTCAGACAGAGAGAGAGAGAGAGAGAGAGAGAGAAAGAAAGAGTGAGAGAATAAAAAAGTGAAAATCAAGAAATGTGAGAGGAAATCATCAGAGGTAGACGAAAGTGAAAGTAGAGAGAAAATTAAAGAGAAAGAGAGAGAGAGCGAGAGAGAGAGAGAGCGAGAGAGAGAGAGAGCGAGAGAGAGAGCGAGGGAGAGAGCGAGAGCGAGAGCGAGAGTGAGAGAGAGCGAGAGAGAGAGAGCGAGAGAGAGAGAGCGAGAGAGAGAGATAAATTTGAAAGTTTCATGAGAGGTGAGAGAACCGCAGATGAGAGGGGGAAGAAGAAGAAAGCGAATGAATAGAAAAGAGAGAGAGTGAATGACAAATGAATGGAAATGATCCGAGATAGTTTCAAGTGAAGAAAGAGAGAGAAAAAAAAGAAAAAAGGAGAGAGAGAAAGAAGGAGAGAGATTCAAGTAAAGAGAGTGAAAAGCAGATGAGAGAGGGAGGAAGAAGAAAACGAATGAAAAGAGAAGTGAGAGAGAAGTGAAAGGAAATGATCAGAGATAGACGAAAGGGAAAAAAGAGAGAGGGGGAGAAATTAGCGGGAGATGAAAAAGAAAAATGAGAGAGAGAGAAACGGATGAGGAGATGAGGAGATAAAAGGAAGAAGAAGAAGATAGATAGATAGATAGATATATAGAGAAAGAGAGATAGATAGATAGATAGATAGATAGATAGAGAGAGAGAGAGAGAGAGAGAGAGAGAGAGAGAAATAAAATGCTCTGTGTGGTCTGAAGGCACGTCAGGCTCTGGGGATGCAGATTTCTACCTTTCCAAAAGGCACATTTTTTTTTATTTAAAATTTTCGAAAAAGCCATGCCAGTAGACGAAAATCAGTGTTTGAAATAGATATGTCTACTCAAAGTTATCAGATATAGGATTTGAAAGATTTTCACGAGAGAAGTATTTTGCTTAATAAGCCTAATTGAACTTTGCATTGTAGTTATGTCCTTCATGGCTGTATATCATAAAATGGATAACAGATGCCATATATAGGCAGGAGCTGCCCTTTCTTCCCTTTACACTCTCGATAGAGTCCAAATTAATTCTCAGCTTCCTGGTGGGTGATGAATTCTCTCCCCCTCCCCTACAGCCCCTTTACAAGAAACAAAATATGGCAAGCCCCTGCTATTTTATGGCTATTTCAATGAAAAGTATTCAGACGAACTACAGCCATCAGTTTCACCATTTCTAACTGTCACGGCCAAGACCTGACATCAGAACGTATCTCTCTCATTCCCTTTGTATTCCATTAGTGAGATGTAAGTTCCACTCGAGCAACATCTTCCCACGAACCACTATTTTGTGGAACCGACTCCCAAGAGGATGCTTCCTCGATCACTACAATCTTAACCTGTTCAAGTCTAAGGTTAACTGTTATATTTCACACATATCCTAATAAACTACGCCTCTTACTTTTGCCAATCGCCTTCAGTAACCCTCTACCTTGAATGGCTCTTGGGACTTGGATAGTGTGAAAATTAGTAACAAATAAATCATCAAGACAGCTGTCGGTTTCCCGTACCGGCTTCAGTAAGTACCTGACTCCTCCTGCTCTCCTCTACCTTTACAAGAGCAGGTTCCGGCCAATAATGGAGTACAAGTGCCATATATGGACAGGAGCTGCCTCGTTTTCATTTTCCAGTCTCGATAGAGTTCAAATTCATCTCAGCGTCCTTGTGGGTGATGAATTGTTTTCTACCTTACAGCCCCTTTCGAGGAAACAAAACGTCGCAAGCCACTCCCTCCTCTATCGCTATTTCTATAGAAAGTATTCAGACAAACTACAGCCATCAGTTTCACCATTTCTAACCGTCACGGCCAAGACGCACCATGCCACGCAAATTCTAGAGAACAACCTTCATTCCCTTCGTATTCCATTAGTGAGATGTAAATTCCACTCGAAGAAATTTCTTCCCACAAAGCTCTGCTTTGTGGAAGCGACTCCCAAAGAGATGCTTCCTCGATCACTACAAGCCTAACCTGATCAATTTCAGCGTCAACCGTTATTTTCTCCTCATACCTGGGGTAACAGAAAAATTGTCCAAATCGTGTAATACGACGGATAATTGCCCATCCAACAAAATTTTTAATATCCAAAATAAAACATTAAACGAACTGAGTTTCTTTTTTTCCAGGTTTTCAGATAAGACGTTTAGACATCTTGATACCATTTGTCGTAAGAATCACTGAAACACCCTTTGAGATATTTACCTAAAAAGAGAGCAAATTAAAATTGTTTTGTGTCAGATCCACTGTCTTCCCAACTGAGCAATGGTGAGAGGAAAATAATCATTTGGGAATAATCATTTGAGTAATGGTACCAACATTCTAGCTTCCATCTTCAAAGTTCATGGAAGAACCAGTGAAGAACAGTGAATAAGTTTTAAAAAAGAATGAACAGTAGAGGGGAAAACTAAATCAGGAGGTCACAACAGGAAGAAGAATCATCCTTTCTACTTAGAGCTAAAGACATTCTTATTGTGCAAAGTAGAGTCCAACAGTATTGTAAAAACTTCGTAGAATTGCAGTAAGCTATCTTTAATCATTTCTAAGATACAACGGTATCAAAGCTTAATCTAACAATTGGACAATTTTGTTGTTACATCGATATATATATATATATATATATATATATATATATATATATATATATATATATATATATATATCGAAACACTTTTAAAATGATTAAAGAACACACACACATACATACTCATACGCACAAACACACACACACGCATGCATACATACATACACACAGAGACATACCGGGTGTACCAGCGAAATGGTCCAAATCATGTAACAGCATGGGATAATTGTCCATCCCACAAACTGTTTAATAGCTAAAAAGCCATTAAACTAATTGTTTCTCTTTCCCAGGTTTTCAGATAAGACGTTTAGCCACCTTGACCCCATTTGTTGTAAGAATCATTGAAAAACCATTTGGTCTTTTCAGCTGGCAATAGAACATTATAAAATCGTTCTGTGTCAGCCCCTCTATGTCTTCCTAAATGAGCAATGGTGAGAGGAAAATGATCATTGAAGCATTCAGTAATGGTACCAACTTTCATACTCAGTCTTCCATCTTCAAAGTCCATTCAACAACCATCAAAAGAACGGAGAATTTTTAAAAAAGAGGGGAACAGTAGAGACGAAAACTGGCACAAAAGGTCACAAGATGAAAAGGGATAGTATTATAAAAATCTGGGAAATTTCAGTAAGATATCTTTAATCATTTCTAAGATAATTCAAATGTTAATCTAACAACTGCACAATTTTACCGTTACACAATTTTCCTGTTACAATCGGTATATATATATATATATATATATATATATATATATATATATATATATATATATATATATATATATATATATATGCATGTATTGTACTCGGTATATCGCGATAAACTGTGCCTCTGTAATTTTTTATTTCAATTAGCTCTTTGACCTTGTACTACATGAACCTCATTTTGATACACACACACGCACATGCGCGCGCGCACACACACACACATACATACATATATATATAACTATATATGGAAGTAGACATTGAGGTCAACACCGCGCTGTGACAGTTTGTTTCATACTTGAATACAGACCTGACAATTGCGTTTAACCATGAAACAGATTGTCGCCGATGGGTGTTGATTCCAATGTCCATTTTTATATTTGCATACGCTTTATCCCTGATAGCGAGCAATTTAATCCATAAATACTGCATACCTAAAACTGTATTTATATCATATATATATATATATATATATATATATATATATATATATATATATATATATATATTGTTTTATGAAGTTTTTAATTTTAATTTCCTATGAATATTTTTACTGATGGTCCCAAATTATCGATGTTTTTCCTGGCATTGTTTCTCCAAGTACTTTGTAAAGTTCTTTTAGTCTGGTTAATTCTTTTTCCTTTTTTTCTGAGTCTTATTTCTATAGATTCAAGCGTTCTGTTTTGAACTTTGGGAAATTTTAAAGTCAAAATATGACGTGACATGGCAAAAAATCAAACTCTCTTTTAGTCTGTTCATTGTTAATTGCATCGCTCATTTTCAAATATCTATCTATCTATCTATCTATCTATCTATCTATCTATCTATCTATCTATCTATCTCAGTCTCTTCATATCTATTTATCTATCTTGAATGATACATACCTTATCTATCTATCTATCTATCTATCTATCTATCTATCTATCTATCTATCCTTTACTAATCTTGCAATTTCAACATTGTCTATTAAGCAAACTATTCACCGGACTTAAATTGACGTGTGGAAGAGCAGTTGGTCTGGACTGGTGACTCCATTGCAACCCGCGGCCAGAGGTGAACAACAGAATTGATTTGCAGTCATGCTGTTCCGCAAGAAGCGGTCAAGTGAAAAATGCCATCTGAGACACCCCAATGAGCAAAGTGCTTTCTGTGCATGCGTGCAACCATAAGAAAGAGGAACAGGCGATAAATGATAGGCAGAAAAGAAAAGATTTGGATCGGGAAAGAGAAGAACGGAAAGGAAAACGTGGGGTGGGGGGTTGGCAAAGAGAGAAATAAGGAGAAAGATACAGAAGGAGGAGGAGGAGGATGCGAAGAAAAATATGTGTGTGGGAAAATTGTAGAATTTGGAGAAAATTGAAAGAAATGTAAATGCTTGATGAAAATGGAGACAGACAGAAATTTAACAGAGAGAAAGACAGAGAGAGAGAGAGAGAGAAAGAGAGAAAGAAAAAGAGAGAGAAAGAGAAAGATAGAAAGAGAGAGAGAAAGAGAAAGAGAGAAAGAGAGAGAGAGAAAGAGAGAGAAAGAGAAAGAGAGAGAAAGAGAAAGAGAAAGAGAGAGAGAAAGAGAAAGAGAGAGAGAGGAAGAGAGAGAGAGAGAGATTAAGAAAGAAGATAAAGTTTGTTAGAAAAGAGAAGGTAAAAATATAGAGAATCTATATAAAAAGAGAGCAAGTAGGGAGAAAGTGCCGTATTTGACGACATATAAGACGCAAGGGTGTATAAGACGCAAGGGTGTATAAGACGCACCCCAATTTCGGCAGGGCAAATCAAGAAAAAATTAGTAATTAGTTGTTATAGTAGAAGATACCTATTCTATAGTTAATAGACTCTCCCACCTATAATAAGTAGGAGTAGTAAGAGTAACAAGTGAGTTGCTAAGTCGCTCAGTGAGTTGTTCAGTCAGTCAATGCCGGACGACCGTTAGTCGGATACTAAAGTATCAGCGACCACAACTAGATTTCTCTGCATCTATTATATCAAGTTCCTAACGTTTTGTACGTCGAACCTATTTTAGGACCGACTTAGTACAAATAAAGCCTCCACTGTGAAACTACTCTACAACATTAGTAAAATTAGTGAACCTACGTATAGCATATTAGACGCCGGAGAATTTTAAAAGATATTTGTAGTAAAAAAAGTTTGCCTTATATGTCGTCAAATGTGGTAAGTCATAGCAACAAGTATAGAAAAGAAGTTAAGAGAAAAAGGAGAGAGAATTATGATCGTGACAGGGAGGAGAAAATACGAAAGCGGAAAAGAGAAATAAGAAATAAAAGGAAGGAGGAAAGGTGAAGTGAAAAGAACAAGGAGAGAGAAAAAATATAGAAAGTAACGTATAGAAGATAGAATGGAAAAGATAAAAAAGAATAAAAGAGAAAGAAAATGAAAGTAACAGTATAGGAATTGGTATCAAATAAAAAAAAAGGACGAGTAATATAACGTTAATAGTAATAATAAATCCTTATAAAGAAACATCTGGGATTCACTGACCGAGCAGCCAGTACCTGTTTTCGTTTGAATAAATTAAGAAGAAAAGAAGAGAGAATAATGATCGTCACAGGGAAGAGAAAATACGAAAGCGGAAAAGAGAGATAGGAAACAAATGGATGGAGGAAAGGTGAAGTGAAAAGTTGAAGGAGAGAAAAAAAATAGAAAGTGATGTATAGAAGATAGAAAGGAAATGAGCGAAAAGAATAAGAGAGAGAAAATGAAAGTGAAAGTGAAAGTAAAAGTAACTGGTATCAAATGGAAAAAAGGACGGTTAATATAACGGTAATAGTAATAATAATTCTTTATAAAGAAACATTTGGGATTCACTGACCGAACAGCCTGTACCTGTTTTTGTTTGAAAGTCATACAATCTTATTTTAAAACATTTTTTTTAGGAAAACTAGTTTCACAAGTCCAGTAATTGTCCCTCTTTCCAGTATTGATGGATACTTCCAACCTAGCCTTTTATTTGAAGTGGGGTGTGATGTCAATATAACGTAAAAGTCAGTATCTTGGTTATTTCATTATTTTCTCATCGTATTACACGTGCTATCCATTTTAGTTGTTGCAGTGGCTGGTAGTCCTAAAGTGATGTGGTTTCTATTATTTGGCACAGTTCTTTGTTCGTGATTCTGTAGCGGCAATCCACAATGTTCAAAGAAGGGTCGTCTTTGCCAAGACCCCCAGGCCTTACTTGCTCAAAGTCTTTTTCACTATTGATCATAGGAAGCGGTTCTATACAGCTGGCAATTTGCATATTTCTGAGCGGATGTTGAGCCATGCATGAATGTCTGGCTAAGCTGTTTAGCAACATGACTCGAGTTTTGAGGTTATTGTTTTGTTCTGTGTTCCTATGGATTTTAGTCGGTTTGTTTTATTTGTTTTGTATTACGGCATATCAACATCTCAATGGGTTATTTAATGCCGACAAAATTTTTATTGCTGATAATATTTCTCCTCAAAAATATATTACTGGTAATATTTTTCAACTTCAAAAATCTATTGCTGGTAATATTTTTCCCAAGCAGGTATTGCTGCTAATTTTTTTCCTCAAAAATTTATTGCTGGTAATAAACATTTTGAAAAGTATTTCTGGCATTGAAACGTATTTATACACTTAGTGTTTTGACTTATTAACTGGAACCCTAAAAGGTGCTACCATTGCGGGAACAGTACCTTCGCCTGTTCGTTATAGTCGAACCCTCTGCTTTGAGCAGAGAGGAACCCGGACAGGCTTTACCGAAGGGCAAAGTTCCGTCCGTGGAGATAAACAGACCCTGAACCCGTTTATGCGGGTTCTGAGGGAATATTTTTGGCCGAGCCTACAGGCTCGGAGAACCCACAGTAAACTCAGCTTTGAGCCACATACATCCCTCGTCGGGGGCGGTTGTTAAATATTAACAGGCGCTACCAGCCCGGGTCGGGGTGAACCTGGGAACAACATCAATTAAGAGGTGGTTCCACGCTCCTCAAAACCTCCTGATCAGAGCCCTTGCTATCGGGCGTAGTTTATCGTCTTACCCAGGACCCGGATGTAGTTTATCGTCATACCCAGGACCCGGATGTAGTTTGTCATACACAGGACGGGATTTTAGTCGATACGGCCGCGAAGTCTGGGACATATACCCTCGCCTAAGAGAAAGAAAACTGAATTCAGACCACCTGCTGCTTCGTAGATCTTGCCTCTTTAACTTCTAAGAGGAGGGACGTTGTAACTTCAACAATTCCAGTGCAAAAGGAACCGGAAAGCCATTGCACTATTCTGTCTTGAATGTCACCATGAACCACAATTGTGAGATGGAGGGTGTGGTGGCCACAGTGGCAATGCAAAATGCGCTAATTGAATAAATGAATGAATGTTTTGGTTTCGTGGCAATTGGCAGTGTTGGGCGAAACTATATCTGGCCAATGTGTTTTCTCGTATATTTAATATGTTATAACTTATTCTGGTTTACTGATACAAATCTTACTATTTAGACCATAGGTGAGGAGAGAAGAGGTGTCTTATACTTAATTTGTTATAACTTATCCATAAAAATATATAAAGAGAGAGAGAGAGAGAGAGGGGATGGCGGAAGAACGTAAATAATAGGGAATAGGTATATAAAAGAAATAATGAGAAAAAAGAAAGAAAATTAGAGAGTGACAGGAAGAGAAACAAATAAGGAAGAAAGAAAGACAGAAAGAGAGAGAGAGACGGAGTAAAGAAAAGAAAAGAGAACACAGGACAGAAAGAGACGTAAAAGAAACAAAGATTGAATAAGAGATAAAGAAAATACAGAGTGCAGATTAAAGGAAAGAGAAAGGAAAAAAAATAAAAAGATTGATTCATTCATTCATTTTCTACGGCTTATTAAATCTTTGCGAGTTTATTGTAAGAATTTTTTTGTGATAATAATGTTTTAGTGATACAAGTCTTACTAATTAACCCATTGCTGGTGGAGAAGTGGTGTACTCATACCTTTCCCAAAAGTATTTTCGTGTAAGTGAATATAAAGGATCCAACTGTAATTGGAACTCGGCTCTCCGATTAACAATTCTGAGCCAATATCCATTACACCACCCGCACATCCTATCTTACAGCACTTTGTATTCCCAAGCGGTCACCCATCTAGACAATTACCAGGCACGACGTTGATTAATTTCGACGTTCGTAGAGGAAGCAGTGTTTCAACCTGATGTAGCCGTGAGCCATAAAAAAACGGGGGAAAATGAAAGAGAAATAAAAGTGAAAGTGAAAGTAAAAGTGAATGTAAAAGAATTTATATAAAAAAGTGGATGAAGTAGATAGGTAGATGTGAAAAACTTCTTTCTGCATTCATGGCAATATCATGAATTGATTATTAGATTAAGCACTGTTCATTCACATTAATTTTTTGACATGTATTTCCTTCATATTAAATGAATTTTTTTTTAATTAAGAGAAATGCAACCTTATCACCGAAATCTAATTCTCTCAGCATTGATTATCACAGACGTAGAGAGACAGTCTGAGAAATTAAAATGAAATTCATAGTAATCTAAACAGAAAGAAATGAGTCTATGTTTTTAAAACACGTATGGTCATATAGCAGAGACAGAAAGGAAACTACAAAACTCCTACAAAGATAGTGAAGGAAAGTGAGAAGAAAGGACTAAACATCTATTGTAAGAAGATATAATGTATGGTTGTTATAAAAAGGAAATGGAAAATGACAAGTACAACGATTTAAAAAGCTGGGAAGTGTTTTGACAGAAGACAGAAAGTACGACACTGAAATCCGAAGACTCATTGGGATAGCGAAAGATGCCTTCCAAAAGCTAAGCAAAGTATAAAAATAGAAACATTTGTTAGGAACGAAGAAAAGGCTAATGGACAGTTATGTAATATTGATTTTCATACATGGCAGTGAATGAAGAGATTTGAAGCAACAGAAACAAAGGGTACTGAACTGTGACATAATATCAGTCTTCACTGGGGTAGACTGTTCTAGTTCCACGTGCCATGTTTAATGGACGTAAGTTATCTGTTATCTCCTATCTCCTATAAAGTTCTCCACTGCCTTAACCGGGTATTGAACTCACACTCTTTGGGTCCTGTCACTGGACCTAACTAACGCCTTTATCCACTGTGCCATGTGTCCTGCGTATGAATTGCTGGGTATTATAAACCTAATGTCTTCAGCAATCATTTTTTACCAGTGTTCATATTGCAATTTTTGCTGTTATCAATCATGTTTTTACCAGAGCTCATATTGCAATTTTTGTTGTTATTATCGCGTTTCTCTGGCACTACTTATTACTGGTCCTCATATTGAATTCATTTCTATGCTTGGTCGGCTCAGGAGATTTTTTGGCCCAGAATATGTGCTGATTCCTTAAGTTTACGAATTTTCCAATGGTGTTCTTTGTCTATGATCTCAACCTGATCCCACAGAAGGCGGTGATCTCCCTTCTTTCTCCATCTGCTTCTGTTCCTAATTTTTCCACACCCTGTAAATCCTTGTGTTTTAGTGGTCTTACTGCCTTGCATTGTGTGATCCTGATTAAAAACAAGACAAAAAGAAACCCATTTATGTTGCAGTCTCTTCCTCGTTTTTCCGAAAAGTATTTAAGTGTAAGTGAATACAACAAACTAGATTTATATTCAGTACTAGCTTAAAAGATTGATTAGGCCTTCGGC